TATGGAACTTGGCTTAATACTTTGTTATATGAACAAAAAAAAGTGATTTTGGACGTCCCAAGCAAATGAATTTTGTCTAAATTATATCTAAAACAAAACCTTGCGAATTAGATAACTTCTGTATTGTGAGTGAGAGCATATACGTATCCAGAAACGTCCTTCTCCAGTTCTCCAATAGGCATCGTGCTCCACTGTGTGTCATCTGGCACATATTAGCCAATGAGGACAAAACAAGCTGTTATTTGGATGTTCTTTAGTTATTTCTGTCATTTTATCCTGAGTTGTGTGAGTACACGTGCCTTCGGGAAATAGTTTTAGAAATTATCATCTTTTATTATGTCTGTGAGAAAGGTGAAATACTCGTGTACGTTTCAAAAATCGTACACAGTTGACTTTTCTTCCATTATTTCCTCAAGGAAATGTAATAAATTTGCGATGTGTACCGCCTGTCGTTGCGATTTTTTGATTTCGCATGGTGGAAGGGTGGATGTTCTCAAAAATGTGCGTACACAAAAACACAAGGACAACATGAGTTGTTTTGAAAAAAAAAAAAAAAAAAAAAAAAAAAAAAAAAAAAAATGAAAAATTAAATTTTTCTTCGGAAACAAAGGACCAAAAAGTTATTAATGCAGAATGTCTGTTCTCTGCCTTTTTACTGGAACACAACCTGCCACTGAATGCATCGGATCACGCTGCAGCTTTATTTAGAAAAATGTTTCCCGATAGTGAAATCGCTAAGAAATACTTAAGTGCAAGAACCAAAAGATGTGAAATTGTTAAAGAAATGGATTTGAAAAATAAATCTTCAGTTATTGATTGCATTAAAACAGCTCCGTTCTGCCTCTCTACGGATGGAAGCAATAATACCGATTCAAAACTGTATCCAATTGTTGTTTCTTTTTTTAATCCAGTCTTCAGAAATTGATTGAGTGCAGTTTACTTTCTGTCGCCACTTTAGAAAGGACATTGACAGGCTTTAAATATAGCACAGCTAATTATTAAAACTTTAAAATAAAATGCAGTCCCTCTCGATAATTGCTTAGGCACTTTGGTGCCGATAATGCACCAGTATTGGTAGGCTTGAAGACTGGTGTTGCAGGCATCTTCAGAAAAGAAAATTCAGATTTGCAGATTATGAAGTGCACCTGTCACCTCTTAAATTTAGCAGCTGAAAAAGGAGTTGCTTCTTTACCAATAAATGTGGATGAACACATTGTTGATATTTATTATTATCTTGAAAGGAGTTCTAAAAAGGAGGAAAAATTGAAACAGGTCCAAAAGCTGCATAACAGCAGTTTACAGTTAGAAAACTTGGATGAAGGGTGCTACTTTGGTAGACGGTTGCACGGATTTTTGGCGATTTACGTTGGCGCAATTGTTGGCGCGATATTTAATATCATCAGCCATCTTGAAAAACACTGTTTCTACGCATAGTAAAGTATTCGAAACTTAAATAAATATCGTTAAAAGTAATCGATTAATTTTTTGTTGAAAATGTTGTTTTTTAAGATGGCAGGCAAGTGTAAATAAATATATATACTATGAGTATAAAATACTAAAGTAAGGCTATTATTACTTTCATATAGTGAAAAAAAGAATAAAAACACCGCTAAAAACATTGTGCCAACGTTTAATTACATTAAAATATTACTGAAATTGAATATCGAATTAAAAACCATCCTACCAACATTTAAAAGAATTAGAATATTATTAAATTCAAATACTTTAAAAATACATTATATAAAATATAATTAACATTAAAACATATGTGACAATAATTATCTCAGCAATTTTTGGAAAATAGTGTATTAATTTTTTTAACAAAAATTGAAGTATACAATTATAAAATAAAAGAAAAATATGTACTTACATTTTTTGAGTAATTTAACCTCTTATTTATTGATAAGTACCACAAAAAAAAATCGAAATCATAATTGAATTGGCTCTTTTAACCATCTTCATCTGTTATCCACATATTTCGCACTTCATTGAAGAAGCAATTAGCGAGGTTTCCTCAAAAAAATTTAAAATAAATTTCCTCTGATGCTATTAACAATTTCTAAATAAATCTTTGATTAGGAAAGACAGGTTGGCCAAAATAAGGTCTCAAAGGGCAATTTTTTTTATTCCAATACCAATAATTCTTGGTAATTACCAATAACAACATTCATCTTCGAAACGAAGATATTCATTCCATTTGAAATCTGACGAATTCGAAGAGATGAATAATAAAATTTTAAAATGGCGCGGTAATGCACAAATATTCAGTAACCAATCAGGGAGCTGATTACATCACGCATAGAATTAAAATTATTTAAATAATCATTCATAATAAAATCATTTTTAAAACAAATGCAAAATTAAATTGTATTTTAATATTTAACAGCCATAAATAATGTTTAAAACATTAGATTAAATTTATAGATATTAATAAAACCAATTACTTTTTAAGTAAGGTGACGTCATTGATTACATCATCAACAACATAAAATTATATAAAATATTATAAACAACAAAATTTTTATTTCAAATAAAAATGTAAAATTAAATTGATTTTTAATATTTAGAAGCCATAAATAATATTTAAAACACGGAAGTTATGCATAATAAAACGCATTATTTTTTTAATAAAATGACAACAAAGTATCGGTTACCATAAATAACTTATCCAGCAATGAGTTTACCATAAGTTGTATTATTCGCCAAAAGAAAACTCGCCAAACAATTGCCAAAATCCGTGCACCCATCTACCAAAGTAGCACCGGATGAAGTAATAAAATCAGCTAGGATAGACACCCAGTGGAGTTTAATTGGAAAACTGAAAGATGCTGATGGAATTTTAAAATATAGTGAACTGTCTAGAATTGTGTTGGCCATCTTAACAGTTCCTCATAGTAATGCAGAGTGTGAGAAGATTTTCAGTGTTGTCGTGAAAACGAGGACTAAATTTAGATCTAAAATTAGTGATGACACATTAGAAAAACTTTTATTAGTGAAAGCAGGCCTACGTGGCAATTGCTATGAACAAAATTATTAAGTTTCTTTCTTAAAGAAAGCAAAATCTGCCACTGTTTATACCATTTGTACGAAAACTGATTAAAGGTTTTTTTTTTTTTTTTGTTTGTTTGTTAGTTTTGTTTTGTTTTTTTGTTTTCTTAAACGATGCATGTAATAAAAATGTTTTTTATGTGTAAGGTATTTTTGTGTTGCTTGCATTTAAGAATTAGTTACTATTTAAAGTTAATTCATTATTAAAAACTATATTTTCCTCATTTAAAAAGTCTTTTTAACATTGTGAAAAATCTCCTGATTTTTGAGTGTCATAGGTTGGCAAGTATGTTAGCATTTCTGGAATCAAATTATGATCAAATCCCAAATTACATAGGATATGTTTAGAATGTAAAGTCCAAATTAAGTATTATTGATTAAAAGTGAATAATATAAATTAATTTGCATATTCAAATTGAAAAAAAATGCTTAATGAAATTAGTAAAGCAATTTATTGTAAATTTTTTTATTCAGAATGCTGTTATGCAATAAACATGGTTGTAACAAAATTTTAGAGAGAGAAAGTAGCTTTGTACTAGGCTCAAATTTTCACTACTGAGATTCACATTGTTTGTAATTGAAAAGAATTTTCAAGATATTTATTAGTCATCATTGGTACACATTTTTGCCTTAACAACAGGATGACTGATCCAATTTAACTTCTGTTTGCAAAAGGAAAACAAATGAAGGATAAAAATCTGAAAGGATTCAGATTTGAACATGGCGCCAAAGAGATTGTTAAGGTTTTTATACTCTCATTGAGATTGCAAATTACCAATCTGCTCTTGTATTCACTCTTCCTAACAGTTTTCTTTTTCTTTTCTTTTCTTTTCTTTTTTTTTTTTTGTATACTTACTAAGCATTGCTTTATTGCTTTTTTTGCAGTTATGTGACATACAGTTCAACACAAAATAACAGTTTTTAAAACAACATGTCTTTAGAATTCATAATTGAGTATTATTGACTGCTATACAATTTTTTTCTGTTTACGGTATTATTTCTTTAAAAAGAGCTGTTTGCATTGCTAGCTGCAAAAAAGTAATGATTTTAATGAGTCTCACTAGTATATTTTCATAAAAATGTTTAATATTTCTGATTGAATATCTCATGATTTTAATACATTTTTAGTTTTTAAATCAACCATACCAAAAAGTAGAAAAAATATTAAGAATTATTAGTTATTGCTTTTAAATCACTTGATTTGTTATTCAATAACTTTTCAGATTGAATCTGAAAGTAAATATCTTAGATTTTCTGAATGCCAACATGCTGGGGTATGGAAAATAAATGTAATTTATTTCCAGTAGCAGTAACATATTGTTTTCAAGTAGCTAAGTTTGTTGATTAAATGTGAAAGATAAAATATCTTTCCAGCTAGACTGTTGCTAAATGGCAGCAGACTAGAAATAAAATTGTTTTCTTTCAAACGGTATTGCCATTTGATAGTATTTGTTTATAAAGTATAATTTTAAGTTTGAATATTTTGGCAATATTGATATTTTCCTAAATTATAAAAGAATGAGTTAAAAAATATATCTGGCATCTAGAGAGTATGTTATGTTTTGGTAGAATGCAGTAAGAATTGCTATAACTAATCTTATTCATTAAGTTTTCTTTTTATATATTACTATAATGTGTTTTTATTAGAAGTAGATAATTCTTAGAGAATATCATTTATATGTCAACTTCCAAACCAACACCATTTATCATTTTCAAATCGCTGAGTTTGTTAATCAAAAATTCATTAGATTTTTACAAAATATGAAACAAATAGAAAAAAAATTCAAAATTTGGGTTTCAAGGTGTGTATGTTTGGAGGACTATTATGTGTATTAAAAATTTGGTGGCTCTAGGTGCTATCATTTTTCAATTTAAAGGACATACATACTATGTACAGATTCTTCATTATTTATTTATTTTTTGCCTTACTTTTTATTTTAATATTTTCATAGATTGATAATACAGATGCAGAAGGAAGGCTAATTCTTGCAGATGGATTATGTTATGCACAAACTTTTAAACCAGAGGTTGTTGTTGACCTTGCTACATTAACAGGTTTTTATACATTCTTTTGTTAATAAAAAATTTCTATTATTTATAAGTTATTTAGCTGTTATTTAACTAAAATAAATATCTCAAATTTAGGTGCAATAATTGTGGCTTTGCACAGTGCAGCAACTGGTGTTTTTTCAAATGATGATTACTTGTGGAACATCTTAAACAAGGTTGGTATTTCTGAATGTATATTAAAAAAAATTAAGTATTGAAGCAAATGTGTACTTTTTTAATGTAAAACTTCAAGAGCGATATTTATTTTGTAAAAGCACAGTTTGTATGGAGACAAAAACTTATGGTAAAGGAACTAAAGCTTTCAGTTTCCAGCACCTAATTTTTAAATGTAATCTGTTATTAAAGTAAATTAAAGCTAGTTTTTAAGGGAAAAAAATTAATACTATATTCATGTTTATAAATTATCTATCATAATTTTTGCATTTTGCTGGTGTACTTTTCTTCTACCATAATTTGTAACATTGACTCAATTGCTAGATGATAACAGCTCTGCAAATAATAGAAAGGAAATAATTTCTCAGTTGCAATAATTAAGTGCAGTTTTGAAGGAAATACATGTTTTAACCACTGCCAAACTGAGTTCTATCCTTTTAATAATTATATGTCTCATTAGGTATTTTATCTGTTCTTTGTGGGGGGAAGACCATTTTCCCTCCATTGTTTGAGCAAATATATTAATTAATTTTCATATGATTTTGAGTCTTGGATAATGTAGGATAGTGATGTTCATTATAATGGTGAAGGCTAATTACTAACCTTTCCATCTGGTGACAGAATGTACATGTATTTCACTCTCCAGATGATTTTGGCTACATTGTGAATAAATTCTTGTTAAATAATGCCATCTCATTTTTTCTTACATGGGTAATTCTAATACTTTACTTACCTCACCCCCCTAAAAAATCTTTGCTGAATAAAAAAGACGTATAAAGCAACATTAGAAGTAATGGACTGTCGATAAAATGTTGTAATAGCATATGGCAAAATAAAAAGTGTATTACTGCTGCTAGTACTGAATAGACAGTTTTCCAGAAAGATTATGATGGTCTTCTCATATTTAATACAAAAAAAAAAAAAAAAAAAAAGCAGTGTATGGAAAAAGCAGTGTATACTGAGTTAACTGAATTTTCTATAGTAGTACTTTATTATTTTACAGCCTCCATAATGTAAATGGCACCAAGAGTGGAAGGCATGTAATTATCTTCAAGATGAAGGTTTTATATACATGTTTTAGTCTTTCGTAGCTTAACATTCAAGGAACCTGTTTCTAGGGCTCACACAAGCTTCATTAAAAGTTTGCAGACTCTCATTAAAAGATTTTTGCATAGAATTAACCACTTGTGATTTCATTTCTTTTGAAATCAATGCCTCGGAGAAATTTGTCATGGATTAGATGAGATTTTGCAGAAATGTATGTGTAAAAATGTGTGTGTACTAAAGTAGTATGATTAGAGGCTCTGCTGTGATTGTTGTAACTAATGAAAACATGCTCGAAAAACAAAAATATAACCATAGTAAAAGCGTAAATGAAACCTTAGATGCATTGAAACTGGCCTGACTGGTTTTTATCCTAAGGTTGTTAGCACGTTGACTGCCATGGCACTTTTCGGATTTGGATCCAAGAAGCCAAATTGATTTAATTATATTTTGTGTTCGTTTTTTAATAAATTTTCTGTTCATGCAAGCCAGCATTGATTTTTTTGTTCTTTTCCCAGAAGCCATCTATCGATATTAGCAATGATATATTCCAAGTTTAATTGTAGCCGCACAAAAATGGCAAGTAAACACAGTACGAGATAACTCATCGTTGGCGTCCTAGAAAAGAACGCCATCTATGAGTTATCTCGTAGTTGGCAGTCAACGTGTTAAGAAAGGAATGAAGAAGAGAAACACAAAGGAGGGTTCTATGATTGTCTCAGATTACTGAAAGGCATGTAATTGTCTTTAAGATACATATTTTGTGCACCTTTCTGTCAGTCTTAGTATGACATATAAAGGCCCTCTTTCTAAGGTTCACACAAATTTGACTGAAGATTGTAAAGCTCTATTAATGACCTCGCATGGTTTCATTTATTTTGAAATCTCTGTCTCATTAAAATATATCATGGTTTGCTTGAGTTTTTTCAGAGAGCTGTGTGCAGTAAGGTGTGTGTATGAAAATAATATGATTGGAGGTTCTACTGTGGTCATTGAAATTGATTAAAGCATGTCCAGAAAGCAAAAATACAATCGTAATAAAAGAATGACTAATGCCAGACTGTATTGAGGCATTGAGAGTGGTCTGATTGTTTCTTTTCCAAGATTGTTGAGCAAAGAATGAAGAAAACTCTTCTCAAATATAGTAAGAGAAACACAAAGTAGAGTTTTATAATTATCTGAGATGGCTCTAAGGCATGCAACTAACTTCAAAATGAAGGTTTCATATACTTTTTAATTGGTCATAGTATATTTAAGGACTCTATTTCTTGGGTTTACTAGAACTCGATTAAAGGTTTGTGGAACACCATTAAAAGTTCTTTGTATGGAACTGACCATCCATGATTTCATTTCTTTTGAGATTGATGGCTCTGAGAAGTTTGTTTTGGATTGGATGACTTTTTGCAGAGGAATATGTTGAAATGCGTATGTATGAAAGTAATATGATTGGAGATTTTGATATAATTGTTCAAGTTGTTGAAAGAAAGTTCAGAATGCAAAAATGTAACAGTAGTAAAAGAGTGAATGTAACTTGGTTAACTGAAGGGTATTGATGGATTTTTTTCCTTGAAGGTTGTTGAGGAAGGAATGAAAAAACCTTTTCTCAGAGTTATTAGAAGAAACATTTAGTAGAGTTGTGTAATTTTCTCAGATGGCTATAATGCATGTAATTGTCTTCAAGCTAACTTTTTTAACACCTTTCACACAGTCGTAGTATAAACTTTTTTAGGACTCACACAAACTTGATTAAATGTTTGTGGAGCTCCATTAAAAGATTTCTGCATGGAACTGATTAACTGTAATTTCATTTCTGAGATCATGTCTTAGAGAATTATATCATGAAGAATTTAAAGATGAAACAAATAATATTTGAGAAAAAATATATTACCTAAAGCAAAAGGAGAATTTTCCCCCCCATCAGATAAGTATTGATGAAGATAATTAACAAATTAGAAGATACTGTATAAGATGTTTCAGAAACTAGTAAGAACATTAATTTGGGAGTAAATGAACTTAGTAAATAAAAAAAAGAAAAAGAAGCAAAACTAGCCTGAAAAATTTCAGGTTAAAATGACATAGTGTTATATCTGTTCTGCATCTTTTAATATGGTTGTCTATTACCGTAAACTACAAAAGTTCATCTGATTGAGATTTCGGTAGTGATGTTTTTAATGAGTGTTTTTTTAAAAATAAATGATCTTGTTAATGATGACCATATAAATAATATGTTAGATATGTTGGACTAGTCTGGCTGGAAAAGTTAAAGGAACAAATATAAAAACTCATGTGATTTGATTGATTTTTCCACAAAGAATCTGAATCTTGTACAAGATCTTTATTTTATTTTTCTTAACATATCTTCGCAGAATTGCCTATTTTCTATTTAAAAAAAAAAAAAAAAAAAAAAAAAAAAAAAAAAAAACCATAGAGAATGTGATATAAAGTGAAGTAGGGGAAAAAATTGTTACCACTTTTTAGCAGTAAACAAATAAACAAAAATTATGACAAAATGCAAACATTATAATGATTTTACATGCTGTGCATTAGATTGTCCAGCAGTTCTGTAAGTAACAATGTTTTCATGATGAAAACTGCTTTAAAGTTCCAGAGAATATTAGGTGGGGGCTGCAGTTATTCAGCATCTTTAAATCTAGATAATGTGCAAGGCACTCCATCTACTTAATTTCTTCATTGTCAAGGTAATGCAGTGCAGTAGGCACAAGCATTATCGTTCATCAAGAGAAAGTTATTGCCGATTGTATGCCTACACAACTTGACATAAGGATCAAGCATCCATTTGTCTCTATGAGCAAATATTAGTGTTCAGTATCAAGACAATTATAGACACTATTTGAATTAAAGGTACAATAGCTAACATTCAGAATGTGCACATATATACTGACTTTGGTATTTTGTCAATTGTCTGTTCATAAACGAATTTCTGATCATGGAATTTTTTAGAGATGTCACCGTATGTAAGTTATTTGATTATTTAAAAGGTGAAATGAGAGAAGGAATACATTAGAAACCTGCTATAAATTTCTCATTTTGTGATTTTATTATAAAATAAAATGATGTGTTCCGACAGCTGAGAAAATGATAGAAGAATATCAATTTAAAAAAAAAATTCCTACAAATTTCTATAGTTGAGAAGAATTGCATTAAAGAGATATGAGTAAAACTTCTTATAAAATAAAAAAGCTTCTATAAACAGTAATTCATAAGACAAAGAGAGGGTTTGTGTAAAATAGACATTTAAAATGAGAGATAATTTTAATAGAAAACTTAGCGAGTTGACTTGACCATGAAGCAGTGTAAGTATTATAAGCTCAAAACTCATGTAAGGACATTATCAATTTTATCTATGTAGTTCCCATCTCAGATGTGGCATTCTATTTAAATTTATTTAAAATAGGTTAATTAGAGTTGTAAATTTTTATTAATAAGATTTCAGTAGTTTAATAAATTAAAATTATAGTAAAGCAAATATTTAAAAATGTGTAATATTGAAAAAATTATCGCAAATCATTTCTTCAGTTCACCAGTTAATAGTATTCTGAATAAAATAAAATCTTATTTTTTTATTATTATAAATAGCCAAATGATCTTTACTCACCATGTAGAAGTTGTTTGCTTATTTCATTTTCATTATTTCTTTTAAACTATTTTAATGTTTGTTAACGGTTTTGATTTTATTGTACGTGCTAGTTTTTGAGGTGTTGTGCAATCTATATTTTATTTTAGGCTGGTTATACAACAGGAGATCGAGTTTGGCGAATGCCTTTATTTAAACATTTTACAAAATTAGTTTCGAAGTGCCAGTTAGCTGACCTTAATAATATTTCAACATCTGGACCATATGGAGGATCATGTCTTGCAGCTGCCTTTTTGCAGGTAATTTTTTGCAGTTTTATTTTCTAATAATTTCTCACGTGAGGTGTTAAAGCCTTATAGGTAAGCCACAGCATATTTCATACACATTTTTTGCATAAAGCATAAGTTTCACCTTTGTCAGAAAAATCATTTTTTAAGTTCCAGGTGGCATTCTGCAGAACTTTGCATAATGTGTTTACTTTATGCTTAATATTGTGAAATGTCTGTGAGACTCAATTATACAGTGACATATTTGAGCAACATTGTGTCTTTAGAAATAAACAAACAAAAGGTTAATGTACTAAAAAGTATTTTTCTTCAAAGCGTGTTCATGAGTAAAGGTATCAACAGAAATTTTTCACTTTAACACAATATTTTGATTAGTACCTTTTCAAATCAACAAAACTATTGAAATATATTTTTACTTTTTGAAAAGGTACTAATGTAAGATGACTTTTCTTCGCTTGGTCTTGACCAGAGTTTCCCAACAGGGTTGGTATGGACCTCCTGAAGGCGATCAAATTTTAAAGAGGTTCAATGAAGATCAGGGGCCAATAGCTGAATGTGTACTAGCAATCGATCATCATAATCAAGATCCCATTAATTAAATTATTAATAAAATTGATATTTGTTTATTGATATAAAGCTTTATCATATAAATAAATCAAGTCTTATTTAAAACACATGTATGTGTATACTAAGTTCTGGAATTTAAAAGTCATCAGAGAAAAATATCCCAAAATTAAGGCTGTTTGTGGACCAGCATTATGGACTTTTTACCCAAAGGAAACAGGTTTTAATCAATTTAATAACTTACAGAAAACAGGAACAGGGTGGTTTAAGAATTAAGCAGTTTTATACCAGATATTTAAAAAACTGCATCAGTGCATCAAACTCAGCTATCACATTCATTAAAATCGAACTTTTGGGAAATTTGAATCTGTAATTTTATTTCTGAAAACTTGTTATTTATTAAAATTTATGAAATTAAAAATAATAATAACACAAAAACTTGTTATTTATAAAATTTGTTATTAAAATTTATAAAATTAAAAATAATAAAATATAAATCTAATGAACTATTTGTTCACATTTTTTATTCATACTCTTGGTCTAATTGTTAAATTATTTATGTTCAATTATTTTTATTTTGATTATGTCATATGCTACATAATATAGAAAAAAATGCAAGGAAGTCATTAAAGAAAACTATTTTTTTTTAAAGAGGTTGATTGTCATTAGAATTAAACAACATTTGCTATTAAATAAAATATATTCAAATTTGTATATGTAAGTCCACAGATCTGCTGATATTGATCAAATCATACTGTATTCAGGAAATAAGGTACAGGTAGCACCCCCTTCCCCCTCCAAAAAAAGCATTAAAACTTCCTAATTTACTTCACTAGAGTAAGAGTAATTGACCTTAAATTCTGTTCTCTTAACACACTACAAGGTGAATAATTATTGAAAGAGGAAGACATTAAGAATGGAATAAGACTTCTTTGAGAGAGAATATTTAAGACTTGGCAAATAGTCTATAAAACACTGTTGTACTTTCAGTTATGATCTTAAAGCAAAAATATTCAGACCTCATAAATAAATGAATTCAAACTACTGTGAAATGAAAGCAAGGAAAAGGATACAGCTATCTGAATTGTCTAAAATTATAGTTATTAAATGAATACTTTAATGACTTCATTGTGTCTTCAGAAACAAAACAGGAAATAAATAAATAAAATACATATTCACTTGCCATCCTTTTAGTATGTATGGTATTATTTACACAGATCTGCTGCTTTCCATATGATAACTGCATAACAGTTATGTCTAACTTTATTGGTTTTTCTTTGGGTTTACATCTGACAATCCTTGAAGACACATCGGTCATATGGGCAGTTAGGGTTCAGCAGCAGTGGTAAGAAGTCTTACATATTTTTCCTTTGAATTTTTTACAAATAAAAGTAATTTAAATTTCTAAAGATATTATTATTTTATGTATCAATAATAAATGAGAAGAAGACAAAGTCTGAATATTTGTGTTAAGAAATGTGTCAAGTTATTACTTTGAAGCAAAAATTTGAAATAATTGAATAATACAAAAGTAGTGAAAGAAATTCAGACTTTTCAAAATGAATACAAATTGTTTTCTTAAAATAAAGATTGCAGTCAGAATCTCATTCCACTTGCATACTTACAATGTTAAAAGAAAAGCTTATGTGTTAATCAGGATAGTACAGAAAAATTTACACAGGGATTTTAAAAAAAAGATTGTAGAAGAGAAAAGCTGGAATAATATAGGTATTTAAAATTAATGAAACTGCTTTTATTTTGGAAGCACATAGGATTCAGAAACATTATTGTGAAGGAAGGAAAAAAGTATCAAACGACTCATTCAAAATTTTTAGCTATGAAACATCAAAAAGACCTAATCACATTTTGTAGTTATAAAACATTGAAAGTTTGAATCACAGGATGACAGGAAGTGTTGAAGGTGGATCCTGAATGTGACTCATGGTTGTTTTTAAAGTAGAACTAATCATAAATACCATAATGAAAATTCCTAAGCCCTTAAAACCAGCTGTTTCCAATATGTTTTTTGCCTCATGCACTCCTTTCACCACTCTTAGATGATCATCCCCCTCCATTCCAAAACTCAAAAAATGCATATGTAAATTTATTTAGATTTAGATACTTTTTTAACATGTTTTATAAATTAAACAACAGAGAAATTATAAGAACTGTTTATAAATACCAAAACTTGAATATAGGTAGTTTTTTATATTCATAAAATAGAACTGAAAATAAAAGGCTGACTGAAAAAAAAAAGTGAGTAATTGCTTTTTGAAAAGGGATACTTCTAGCAATAAAAAAGATACTGTAAATAAATTAATTTTAGCCTTTAAAATTTTATTGCATTTTGATAGCACTCTGTGATAGGACTGAAGTGATCATGTTTCTGCCTCTTAACACAATCTGTTTTGCAATCTATGGAGCTTGGTGTCTTTAATTATCTAAAACTCCCTTTTGGACAAGCAGTATAAAATATTATGACTGACTAATAAACCATTTTCATTTACTTAGTTCTGGAAGAAACTCACCTAAAAGTGTTGTTAAAAATTCATAAGAATTGTGGGAACAAGTAATATCAGTGGATATGTAAGTAGTATAGAAAGAACTTTTGTCTCATTGGTGCAGCTGATTACAATAGATGTAGCCAGCTGTTAATCACATGAGGAAATTAATGCCATTCGATGTGAATTAGGATTCTGTGAAACAAATTTTGTGGTTGTGAAACTTTTATATCATGAGGATTTGATATGAAATTTATTAATTTATTTAATTCATAAAGCGTAAATTGAAGTTTGTGTATATAATAATTTTTTTTTTAATTTTTTGTTCTATTTTATTTTATTTTATTTTATTTTTTTTAATTTGTGCAAGAATGTAAAGAAGAGTAAATGAAGATTGTGAAAAGTAGTTCGATAAGTTACATTATTTTAATATGCATCTGTATAATAGTTAGATAAGTTACATTATTTTAATATGCATCTTTATAATAGTTGGATAAGTTTCATTATTTTAATATGCATCTGTAATTGCATTTTGTTGAGTAGAGGCGAGCAAACTTTTTTCTTATGCGCATGCGTGTTAATTATGCTGGCGCAGCTGTCTCTTCTCCCGACACATCCGTCATTTGAGCGTACGGAGATGGTGAGATAATATATGCTGTGTCATGGTCAATATGATTTTCTGTGTGCTCTTTTATTTTATTATTTGTGTAAATAAAGTGTGTTGTCCTACGATGGCTTCTTTACTCTAAATATGGGCCTCTGAACAACAAATGGTAGCAGGTCCATGGTTTTATCAAGAAGCATTGGATATAAAATACCAAGTATTACTGAAACTGTCTTAGAGGAAGCCAAAAATGGAGAAGTGGAATGTTCCTGAATTAACTGGCAAGAACTATTTTATCTGGTTACTGAAAATTAAAACTGCCTTATCATTGAAAAGACGTTATTCAGTAATTTTGACTGTAAAACCAGAAAATGAGAAACGAGAAAGATGAAAGATTGTGGAATAAGAAAAACGCTGTCGCCGTAGCGTATATAAAACTTTCACTATCGGATCAACAGGCACTTTAGTTCTCCACAGAAGAGATTGCAAAAATTTTTGGGGAGAAAATAAAATCAATATTTACGGGACAAGCCGAAGATAAAAAAAATAGATGCTGGTAATGAGTTAAAAAATTTAGAAATGAAGTTGCATGAGTCGGCTAATGATTATATCGCAAGAGCGAGAGGAATAGCAAGTAAGTGTCAATCATTAGGACTAGATGTATCTTTTCGGGAATTGGTGTTTTATACAGTCCGTGGACTTCATGGAAAAATCTCTCTAATTAGGGAAATTGTAAAAACTCAGCATAAAAAACAATCAATGAAGTACTCGAAATATTCCGCAAGGAAGAGTCTACTCACAATTCCACGAATGGGAAACGACATGATGGAACCAACACTGAGGCATTCATATCAAGGAGAAATAAAAACTATAATCCAAGAATTTGTTACATTTGCCGATGGCCTGGTCACATTGCGAAAGATTGCTACTACAGAAACAAGAATTCAAAAAAGTGAGTTATCCAAAGGTAACAAAGAAAGAAAGAAATCGCAACCTACACGTATGAACGTTTCATCTCGTTCTGATGAAAGAGAAAGTGATTTCGCTCTTACACATGGAACACATGGAAAAGTGACGAATGTGACAAAATTTGGTTGCTGAATAGTGGTGCAACTGGACACATAGCTAAAGACTCATTTTGGTTTCAGATTATTAAATCAGAGGTGAGAGAGATTTTCAGGCAGATAAACATATAAAAATATTTTCAGAAGGTATTGGTACTGTTAGAACAAGAACTATAAATACGAAGAATTCTAGTTCTGTTAATTTAACTATTAGTAATGTTAGTTATATTCATGATTTAAAAAATAACTTATTGTCACTCACTGCATTAATGGATAAAGGATGTAAAATTGAATCAAGGAATAATTCTGTATTAGTTCTTAGTAGGCGTAATCAGTTACTTTTTAAAGCATATAAGACTAGTGGTAGGCTTGAAGTTAATTTAGACCATATAATTCTGAATCTTGCATTGTTAATGATTGTACTGGTAAATAATTATGATTTTTGGCATAGTAGATTGTGTCATTTAAGTCCAAAATATATGCTTAAAATGAAATAATATATTGATATTAATGATGTAAATGATTTTAAGTGTGAAACTTGTGACATAAGTAAAATAACTAGAAAAATTCATCCACAAATTGCAATAATCAGAGTTCAGAAATTTTAGAATTAATTCATTCAGATCTGTGTGGCCCTGTTTAAACAGAACCAATTGGTGGGTCTAAATATTTTATGATCTTAGTGGATGATTTTTCTGGAATGTATTTTACTTTTTTCTTAAAAGTAAAAGTGAAGTATTTGACACATTTTGTAAATTTAAAGCTAAGTATGAAAATTTAACTGGTAAAAGAATTAAACTTTTGAGAACAGACAATGGTTTAGAATTTGTAATTGAACAATTAGATAATTATCTTGCTAATTCAGGTATTTTTCATGAAAAAACATTTCCATATAACAGTGAGAATAATGGACATTACTACATGAGAGTGAGCTTCCGTTAAAATTCTGGGCAGAACCAATTAATTTTAGTATTCAAGTATCAAATTTAACACCTTGGAAAGGAAAAGAAAAAAATTCCTTTAGAAATTTGGACTGGTAAGAAACCCAAATTATACTATCTAAAAAAAAAAAAAAAAAAAAAAAAAAAAAAAAAAAAAAAAAAAAAAAACCGTGGATGTGTGGCAGCACTATCCTTATCTTCAGAGCAGATGTTTTATTTTATTTGGCTTATAATTCCTTACCAAATTAGTATTTCATCTCGATGTGCTCCGTCTTTGATATGATTTAAAACAAGTTCCTCGTCATTATAATTCGCTTCCGATAGCGAAGAAAGTAACAGAGGTTAGTGAAAACGAAAAAATTTCGATTGACAAATTAGTCGGTGTTCTCGACACAGCTATTATAGGACTTGAACAGCGGAACTTTGTAACTGAACAAGAAATTATGTCTGTTTAATAGAATTAAAGAGAATGTATTATCACATGAAACGAAGCAAAACGTAAACAACTTACATTGAAAGAAATGTTTAATAAAGTAAACAAATAAATATTAAGCTTTTTCTTTTTGCAAATTTTGATACCCTTTAGATCATAATTGTTCTTTATTTCATAAATTACGGTTTCGTATTTTTAATTTTAGAATTTCTGCATGCCATCTTACTGCATGCCATCTTTCTGCATGCCATCTTAGATTTAAACTGATGATCTATAATCCGGAAAAATCGATAATCCGGAATCGCTGAAGTCCCGACGAGTCCGGATTAACGACTTTTGACTGTAATTATATGGGGAAAAATAAAACCTTAGAAACTTGGGATATTGAAGAATTGAAAGGAAGAGGAAATGAAGTAAATCAAAAACCGCACCTCTAATTGGTTGTTAAGGAAAATACTCAAGCAAGCAAATATGCTGACTCATCGAAATTTTGAAATCACCAACATAAGGCGTTGTAGCGGGGGCAATGACAGGGGAAATAAGCTCCAAACATCTGATAGCTATGAAAAAGTAATCAATATGGAATTGAAATACGATTAAGACGATCCGAGAGGCTCAAATCAAAACAACTGTCGTAATGTTCCGATACTTTCATTTTTGTATTGAAAAAAAGGTTGCTCTCAGGAGGGGTGGCGACAAGCAAACTTGGGTAGAGACAAGCAAACTTTTTTCTTATGCGCATGCATATTAATTATGCTGCTGCAGCTATCAATTCTCCCGACACATCCGTCATTCGAGCATACGGAGATGGTGAGATAATATATGCTGTGTGATAGTCAATATGATTTGCTGTGTGCTCTTTTTATTCATTATTCATGTAAATAAAGTGTGTTGTCCTACAATGGCTTCTTTACTCTAAATATGGGCCTCTTAACAACACATTTAATAGCAGGATTAAGATATTTACTTGATATTTGCAGAAGCATTATTTTAAATTCTTTTTTATCCAATGCTGAAAGAAGGAAGTTTTCTCTATATGCCCTATGACCTTTGAGTACTGAGTCTGAATATCTTTAACATCTAAACCTAATATGCAAACATAATTATACAAGATATTTCTGTTAAAATATTTGGATTCTTAAGTATGTTATTTAAATGTTATTTCCTAGAATATAAACAGAAAATTCTAATACTTAAAATGAAAATAAATATAAAAAATTCAATATTAGTAGTAATGATTATCTTTACATATTTAAATTATTTCAATACAGTAGTGTAGTAAAAATATCAATAATTTAAATATCGGTACCTATTATATCTTACTGCCATATTTATGTGCAAAATTTTAAGCACCTTACACTGCATGAAACATTTCTAAATTCTGAATGCTCATTATAAACATGCACATTCAGAATGCAATGCACTTTCATACACATACAAAGAATAAAATAATACTTACAACAACACGGCTTATACTGAAGCGATAATAAGGTTCTTCAATAAGGTTTCACAGCATTTTGACATAATTTATGCATATTCAAAGTTTGAAATAAAATGTTCTATTTCAGCACATCAAAAATGATACAGTGTTCCACCAGTGAAACTTGGCTTCCATGCCATTTGGTACGGTGGGCACATGGAGGGAAATTGAAGCATATCATAAATGATATGCTGGAAGCAAAGAAATTGCAAATGCTGTTTTTAATCTAAACTTCATAAACTGTAATGTTATAAGTTTTGCAATAATTCTTTTAATGGAACAAATAAAAATGAGGAATATTTTATTAAATTTCATTAGACAAATATTTTTTAATGAAATGAAGGATTTTATCTGTTTGACTTATGAAAAATATGGCTTATCCCTCTGAATGAAATTAATAAAACATTCCTAATTTTCCAAAACTCATTCTTAAATTTTTACATTTTAGTACTGTACTATTAGTTTATTATTAACATAATATGTTATACATGGGGTGTTTCCAAAATTTATAGAAATTGAGTTCTAGTTCAATTCTTAGAACTTATTACCAGTTCTGTCAGCCAGGGACAAATCTTGAGATATTTTTGCAGCTAACCTGTAACAATATTATTGAGTCCAGTTTAGTTGTTTGACTGACAGAAGCCACATTTTCATACCACTGTTTTTGCAACCATGGAAGATGTTGAAGAGCAATCATTTTCTTTTTGTGAAAAGAAGGTGTGAAAACTTCAGAAATTGTTCAACATCTGCAAGGAGTTTACTGTTCCCACATTTGGAAAAACCTTTACAGGGTGTTTAATTTAAGAGCTGAACTTTGTTATAAGTAGAGAAGAAGGAGACACTGAAAAAGATCCTTGAGAGGATGGCTTAAAAAAATTAGTTTTTCACTGGGATAAGTGTATTCAGTTAAAATGTGGATTATGGTGAAAAAGTGTATTGTTATATTAATGAAATAAAGGAATTGTACTTAAATTCCTAGAACTTTGAGCATCCTATCTATATAGTCTATTTATTAAGAATAGAGACCAAAAATGGACAGAAGCATTTTTTGGCCAAGGCATTTTAAATACAGTCAGAAGTCATTAATCCAGACTCGTTGGGACTTCTGCTATTCCGGATTATTGATTTTTTCCGGATTATAGATCATCAGTTTAAATCTGGTAAGATGGCATGCAGAAATTATAAAATTAAAAATATCAAACCGTAATTTATGAAATAAAGAACAATTATGATCTAAAGGGTATCAAAATTTACAAAAAAAAAAAGCTTAATATTTATTTGTTTACTTTATTAAACATTTCTTTCAATGTAAGTTAAGTTGCTTCGTTTTTTATGTGATAATACATTCTCTTTAATTCTATAAACAGACGTAATTTCTTGTTCAGTTACAAAGTTCCGCTGTTCAAGTCCTATAATTGCTGTGTCGAGAATACCGACTAATTTGTCAATTGAAATTTTTTTCATTTTCAATAACCTCTGTCACTTTCTTCGCTATCGGAAGCGAATTATAACGACGAGGAATTTGATTTAAATCATATCAAAGATGGAGTACATCGAGATGAAATGCTACATTTAGTGAATTATAAGCCAAATAAAATAAAAACATCTGCCCTGAAGATAAGGATAGTGCTGACAGATCAGCTTCCAATTCATTGCACGCCGACTGCGGCGTTAATGATAAACAAAGTTTAGATAAACAAAGGATATGCCTTTATCCATTTTTTGCAGCAATTCCACTTTTTGTTTAATGGACTTCGAAACATACTTTCGCTTTGTAGATCCTTTACATATTAGTAATATATATCAGAAATTCTATTTGACATAATCAAAAGTTCAAGCTTACTTTTATAAAATTGCTCTAACAGTCTGCAAAAAATAGTAAGCCGAATCCAATTCGAAGATTAAGGAACAACGCAATCTGTAACATTAACTGAATTAGATAATTTTAGCTTAGCTTATACCGTTCGTTATACATTAAACGTGCATTCGTAAACGTATTTTGCGCACGCGCAAACGCGGTTTCGCAGGCGTAAAGGTCTTACGCGCATTCGTCAACGCGATGCATGCACAGAAAGTTTGTAGCTTTGAGGTCCGGATTATAGATCATTCCGGATTATGGGTGTCCAAATTAATGACTTTTGACTGTATTATACATTTTTAACACAATATAATTTAAGATATTACAAAAACCAATCTAAAATTTAAAAAAAGAAGAAAAAATATTGTGTGTATGCACTGTGTTCATTTTCTGTCATCGATATTGCTAGATCCCATGTGTTTTTGTTTGCTGGATCTCTGTTCTGGAGAAACAAATTATAAATTAATATAATATATGAATGTTATGGTATTCCTTAGGAGTTTATAGAAAAAGATATGAAGTGGCTTCATTTAGACATCGCTGGTGTTATGGAGAATAAAGATGAAGTGCCTTATCTATGTAGTGGGATGTCAGGTGAGAAAAACATTTTTGGTTTCTGTGAATATTTAACATTTTTTTTAAATTTCTCATCTTGAAGTATTTTTAGTTGCATGCATATTTTTTTGTTTCATTAACACATTAAAGGCAGGCGGCTTTGGGCATTATGAATGATACTGAAAATGGATGCTAAGAACCTTTATCGAAAAGTGGGTTCAGAACACTGCAGAGCAGAAGACAGAAATGTCTTTGTGACAAGTAGGAGGAAGGAAAAATGCAGTTCTCAAAAATGAATATGATCATTTTTGACTCTGATACAGGATGTGCAGTGTCTCTTCATGTTCAGTATAAGATTATAAACAAAACTTCTGAGATTTCACAGCTTATTTCTCTTGTAATACCAGTTGCAGCTAGAATTATTGCTGATGTCTGATGATATGCTGCTAATCATCTTTTGGGATTGCTCGTGTTCCATTGGATTTAGGTCCAAGCACAATATGGGCTAAATCTGTGTGGCAAATATTTTCTCTTGTCGACAGCTGCTGTACAATGAGTTCCAACATTGCCATTGATTAGAGTCATGAGAGGAACAGGTCCACAGAGTCTATTAAAGATGCATATGAGGAAAATTAATATCTGTAAAATAGTGTTCATTAATGACTGAACCTTCTTGGACTTCTTCTTCTTGTAGAATTCTATAAAGCCATCAAATATGAAAACTCCATCATATCCAAACCAGTGTATTTTTAATGATGCTGGAAGGTGACTGCATATTTTCTGCTCTAATCAAATGTTAAGAAATCCAAAATCATTTATGAAACTGAAGCCATTAAAAAATTCTCAAGTAACTTTGTCTCTTAAGGAAGTCTTGAATGGTACACCTTGTTACCGAATGATCAAAGTATATGCCTGTCTTGGTCATGGTTAAATGCGATATTTGCCTGTAGGAAATGTACTGGTTGTTTGTTGCCATTGGTACTCATGAATGATACTACTGAACTTTTGGACAACTTTTCCTATCATTTGAAGTGCTATTCAGGTTCTTGACATGATGGCGAATAAGATCCCAAACTGCTGAGGCCTATTAATTGCACATTCGCCATTTGCCACCTTCTCAGTGAGTTGCTGTCATGTGCAGTTGTCTGTTAGAATGCCATATTCCTGCAACAACTCAGCGTCATTTAAACCAATGTATACTGTGCTGTAGCTTCTATAGAAATACTGAATATGCACTGCTTTCAGGCTGTCATTCTTCCCACATGCTCACAATCTCATGCTATCTATATTCATATGTTCTGTACATCATGCTATCCATATTTATATGCTCTATTTTACCAGACCTTAGGCAATCTCCTGATTGGCCATTCACTCTGTTATACCAGTTTATTCCATTGCTGTGTAATCTCTCCATTTTGCTCTTAATTTTTACATACTGATCTGTCTATAACATCTATAAAGTTGAATTGATTGGGAGCTGGAAGGTATTTGGTAAGTTTATACTGTATTAAAATCTTATCAAAATCATCTTCTTTGCTTGTTTTCTCTTCTAAAACTTGTCTTAAGCTTATGTTTACATTAACCCTTTCCTGAATCTAGTTCATTAATTCATAAATTTTTTGCTTTTGCACAATTCCTATAACAATATCACAGCTAGAATAAAAAAACCCTGATGGAAAGCAATGTTATTTTTATGGAAATATGTGGAAGATTCTAAAACAATCTGTAATGTCTAGTGTTAACATAACATTAGTGGCGCTTCTTATGAAAAGAAAGAAAAGAGCTTAGGCAATGTTGCCCATTGCTCTTCCGCCATTTGATCATTTAAATCAAAGGTTTTAAATGGTAACTCCCGTGAAAGTTAAATAATGAATAAATAGATAAGATCCCAAACTGACACCAAATATATAGTATCAGCAAAAGATCTCATCTCTAAATTCAGGGTGTCGGTTAAATCATGAAAACTCCCCAATTGGATAAAGAGCCGAATCAATCCCTCCGAAACTACCAAACACAAACTCTTGACCAAACAAAGGTGTGAGGTGTGATGGTGAGTCTAAAATAAAATTAAATAAGTAAATAAATAAGTAAAAAAAATAATTATTAATTAATTAAAAAAGGAGGGCAGAGGTGCTTTCTCAAGCCAAATGGCCAGGTGGTGTATAAAGATTTGATATCTATTTCCAAATTATATTCCAAAACACGGCTATGAGAGGGAAATCCCTGCATAGTTTCTTTTACACACACACACACACGCACGCACGCACGCACAAAAAAAAAAAAGAGAGAGAGAAAGAGAACTCACAGGGCGTCTCAATGCTTATTTTTTGTGGTTTCAAATTCACCTTATCTGTAGGTGTTTAGTTATACAGTAGAAACCCTTTTATGCCAGAGAGCCCTTTGTATAGAAGGGCTTGATCAAAGCTAATATAGGGAAACCCAAGGAATTTGTTTCTAGGGACAGAAAACACCGGCATCGTCCCAGGAAGTGAAAAAGTGTTTCCACTTCACCACAAGCTGGGCAAAGAGGAGATTCGAGAAGACCATATTTGTGGAGATGTTTGGCCAGATAAGCATGTCCGGTAACAATTTGAATTACCTGGCGTAAGTTAGTTCTACTGAGGTATATGAGTTTACCTGATAAGTTAAGTATACTGAGCACCAATTTAGAAAGAGCACAGTCTGGTAGTTTAGACCGTATATCATCATATTTCTTCTTTATCCAGCGTGTTACTTCTTTTTTAACTTTGATATGAAACTGGGTAAAATGGTTCTGGGCCAGACATGGGTAGTAGCGAAGCATCTTTAGCTACTTTATCAGCTAGTTCATTTCCAGCAAAATCACAATGACTTGGGACCCAGACTAAACTAATGGTGTTATGGGCCTGACCCAGAGAATTGAGATCTTGAGTACAAACACAGTTTTGTAACTTCACACGATTAGCCAGGGCAAGGATGGCTGATTGACTGTCAGAGAGAATATATATATTCTTATCAACTGTATTTTTAGCTAAGAGCTCCCTGGCGACCATATTGATCGCCAGAACCTTCGGCTTGGAAAATAGTTGTTAGTTTACCAAGGTATAGATGAAATCTAATGAAATCTTCTTCCAGATCCCTTGGTTCTTGTAATAGCTCCAGCTCCAGATGAAGTTGGATTTTGATCCATCTGTGTAACATTCAATTGATCCTGTTGGAATAGGTCAATCAGAGATTCTATCTCATTCCTTTTTGGTATATAAGTTGAGAATAGTTTATCTGGAACTATTGTTTTAGTAACTGCATCTTTAGATTATAGGGATCTCATTGCCCAAGTCCAGGCATATGTCAATGTGGCTTTTAAGGTGGCTTTTATGACTGAAACATGTCCTTTGGCACCATGTGCCATTTTTATTCAACCTATAATTGCTTCTCTGCTCAAGAGATCTCATCTCTAAATTCAGAGAAGCTTCTCCGCTTTAATTGCTTCTCCGCTCAAGAATAATTTCAAGGGTGGAATTTGCAATAAAAATTCTAATGCAGCAGTAGGGGTACTGTTTAAAGCCCCACTAATGCATAGGCAAGCAAGTCTTTGCACCTTTTGTAAAATGCTTAAATATGTACTTTTGTTAATAACATTGATCCAGACCACGCATCCGTAAGAAAGCATTGGCCGGACTATGGCAGTATAAATCCATAGAGTAGATTTTGGGTTAAGGTCCCATTGTTTACCAATGATTCGCCTGCAAAGTACTAGTACATTTGTGGCTGTTTGTGCCTTTTCTTTTATATGGTGATCCATGCAAGTTTACTGTCCAGGTAACATCCTAGGTATTTAACGCATTCCTTACGTCTGATAATCTGGTTACCAAGATCTGCCAGTTTCCATTTCCTTTTCCACGTGAAAACTATGATCTCAGATTTTTCAGCAGAGAAAGATAGGCTATTTGTTTCACCCCAGTTGAAACTTTATTCAAGATTTGCTGAGCTTGATTGTGTAGGGTTCCAATATCGAAACCTTGTAGTAACACAATAAGGTCATCTGCATAAGCTTATGACATGCCAGGTTCCTCCCATAGAAGTACGAAGAGTGAGTCAAATACCAGTTCCACAGGAATGGAGAAAGAATACCACCCTTTGGACACATTTTAATAATATCTCTGTTTACTTCAGTCAGTGAGACTAATGCAGATATTCCTGTATTTAATCATAGAAATGACCCATCTAGTTATCATAGGGTGACTATGACTTCCAATAAGGGCTTTATGTATTTTCTTGAAACCAATGTTATCAAGGGCTCCTACAATATCCAGTAGAATCCCAATGGCAAAGTGTCCGTCTATAATTGTTTTTTCTATTCTCCACACCAGTTGGTGTAGGGCCGACTCAGTGGGGAAGCCAGATCTAAAACCGTATTGGTCTAAGCCAAAAGTATGGTTCAGATTATTATCTGACTGGAGGTGCCAGAAAATCAGTCGCTCCAACAGCTTGAGCTGGAAGAATGTTAGCGTAATCATTCTAAATGAGTTTGGTTTCTCATATGTATCTTTTCCTGGTTTGGGAAAAAACACACCTCGTGAAGTTCTCCACACCTTAGGAACATATCCTAAAACCAAATTGGATTCGAATATGTCCACGAGAATGTGGCCAAAAATATCCCAGCCTTTCTGAAGCAGAATTGGGTAAATGCCATCGTTCCCTGGAGATTTAAAGGGAAGAAATACATCTAGGGCCGCTTTAGCCTTTTCAAAGTTCACTATTGTCTTAGCAAAATCCAAATCTAATGGATTATGAAGTAGTTCCAGTGGATTTTCCTGGGGGTCAGAGGTGACACTTGTGCCCCCAGATGAAAATTCAGCATGATCGAAAGTGTATCCAAAGGGTTTATAGTATAACTGCCATCTGGTCGCATAACCGATGAGAGTTGAGACTCCTGAGATCTCTTAAGAATCTTATGTACTCTTGCAGTCTCATGGTAGGACAGAATATCTGTGCAGAAAGATCTCCATGAGTTATATTCAGTTTTCCTGATTTCACTTTTAAATTTCCTTTGTAGAATTTTGTAGACCAGTTAACTTCAGATTTATTTCTGACTGCTTTCCGGAGGCTTTCAAGCTCCTTGGTCCACCAGACTCTCTTGCTAGAAGAGTACTTCCTTCGTTTGAGAGGGCATGATGCATGATAGGATTCAATAATGATATTTGTCAGGTTGTTTGCTTGAGTATCAAGCTCCTCGACTGTACAATTATTGTCTAAAACCTGAAGGTTAATGACATGAGAAACCAGGGAGTCCTTATAAAGGTCCCAATTTGTGTTTTTAATGTTCCTGAAATATTCAGCTGGAATTTCATCTCTAATACAAAATAAAATTGTATAAGGCGATGGTCTAAAAGGGAGGGATTGTCACTTACATGCCAATTCTCAATAAGGTTATAAATATCAGAAGAAGTTAGTGTGAGGTCAATGACTTCTTCTCTTCTTCTGTTGACAAAGGTGGGGCGATTTTCCCTGTTTACCCAGGTTAGGTTGGTATTCGTTATAAGTTCCATGAGTTTTTTCCTCTAGGATTGGTATCAGAACTGCCCCATGATAGGTGGTGAACGTTAACATCACCACCAATAACCATAGGAATATTGTTTATTTCACAGAAACTCGCAAGATTTATAAATTCTTGCGGAATGTTAAGGTCATAAGCCATGTAAAACGAGCAAAACAAATGTTTCCTCTCAGTGAACTGTTTATGTCCTTAGTTAAAATAGCAGTTAAGTCCTCTGATGTAAATTGAGATAAATTCATAGCCTTTATATTTTTAGAACTGTAAATGCTAGTTCTAGGTCTTTTTTTAGGTCCCTCTGAGGAAAAGAAGTGTGTGTTCATGGGCCTACCAAGGATTTTACCCTTGTACACCCAAGGTTCTTGAATTAAGGCAACAAAAGTGTGTTGCTTACCTAATTGAACAGCTAAATTGTATGAAGCTGCTCTGCTATGTTGCAGGTTTAGCTGACTAACCTTAACCATTAAAACAGGTTAAATGAGAGATAAGAACTTACCCTGAAGGATTTTAGGAGAGACTTAGTTAAAAGCTGCATCCTTAACCCACGACTTTAAAGGAAATAGTGACAGGGGAAAACTATTCAGATGTCTTCCCCAGAGTTTCCAAAGAAAGCTCTGGTTCCGACTCCTTTTCGGTCTCCCCTTCTTCCTACAACTGTTTCATCGGAGGATCCTTGGGCGGAGGAATTGATTTCTCCTGTTGTCTTGGTTCCTTCAGCTGTACAGAGCCACAGGCACCACAAAAATGTTTGAAATTCTGGGCCTCCAGGTAATCCATGAGCTCAGGTTCCACTCCCAGCAGAGTGTTACCTCCGTCTCCAGGGATGACTGCCTTGATGGCGATCTTCTTAACATCCAGGTCCTTGTTACAGGCATCAAAGAGCTTGATGTTATCTTTTGGTGACCTGTTACCAGCAAACTAAGCGAAAAACCTCTTCATGGGGGGTCTGTCCCTGGGA